AAATCAACGAAAGTAAAACTATCCTTTCATTGGAATATTCGCGGTTTCCCGCTCCCCAACCAGACTTCGTCATATCCTTTCCTCTTATAACCCATCTACTGTATCCTTCAAGAAACCTTTCTTACACATCACTCCAATACCAAAGCCCCAATTATCATTTTGTCTCTTCCCACATTCCTTATGGCTCGCTATACTTATCCATCAAAAACACCTTATATTCACACCACCCTTTCAAACCAATGTCCCTTGTACCGTATTTGTATCTTCCTTCATCGTTGGATCACAGTGATTTCAGGCTACTTCTCCCTTTCCCCACCCCCATTGACTTTGTTGCTTTTGAAAATCTAATTTCCCAACTTCAACCACCTTTCCTCCATATTAGGCGACTTTAACTGACGCCACAACTCTTTGGGGTGGATTCTATTACCACTCCCAGGGCCGATCGCTAGACGCTTCCTCTCCACAGCGACCTTACTATTCTAAATTCAGATCGCCCCACACACATTGATACAACGCACGCAATCTTTTTCATGCATGGACGCTCTCCTATGCTCCCCATCTCTTCAATAGATTTCCACTGGTCAGTCTTAGACCACTATCCCACTTTCCCTATAAGTACCACTTTCCCAGTTCTCCTTTCTCCTACTATCATACTACCACTTTAATCCTAACACCCCACGCTGTGCTTTGATAGAGCGACTGGCATACTTTCACTTCCACTGCTCTGCTATCATACCCCTCCATCCTCCCTCCCTCACCACCATTTCAGAAATGATACAATGTTTCACAACTACAGTCATAAGAGCTGCACATACAGCTATCCCTCGAACCACAAGACCATGTACCTCTAATGTGTTCCATGGTGGAATTCTGAATTCACTAAAGCACTTCGCTTAAAACGTGCAGCCTGGAACAGTTACCCCGCTACAAGAGAGGAACTCCAAAACAACTATCAGCCCTTATCTCTTTAAAAAGAGCATCTTCTCTGTCTTCGTGTCGTACAATCCGGATAGTAAAACACCTAGCTGGCGAAAATAATTTCATTCATTACCATCCTCTACATCTATCCTCAATGTATGGCGACGATCCATAAACTATCCAGCAAACATCCCCCCATCCTGTGCCCCCGTCCTCCATATTTCGAGCTACCCTCTTTTCTGATCCCTTTCCAATCCTACTGAACGGTGAATTATTTCAGCCAGTCATAGTGGCACTCACCTTTCTCCACACTTCTCTCTATCAAGACCACCAAGAACGTACCCCCATTACCTTCAACCCCATCATTCCGCGTGAGTCCTATAAAGCCCCAATATTCTTCCTCTGAACTCATTACTGCCTACAATCGGCGCAACACTCATGAAGGCCCTGACGGTATTCACATACCGTATGCTCCGGCAACTCCCATCTTCCTCCTTATCCTTCCTATTAAAAATTTACACACTTAGGACATCAGGAAATTTTACCTTCTAATTGGCGAGAAGCTCTATCCTTCCCTTCCTGAAAACCCAATAAATCGGTTACCCTCCTCAAGACTATCCCCCATCGCACTAACTAGCTGCTTGGTCAAACTAATAAGCGAATTGTGAACTCCGCTTAATGTGTATCTTGAATCTCACATCGTCTCTCTCCTTCCCAATTCGGTTTTTCGCCGTGCCAGAAGCCAACAGCTGACCCCCTTGCTCATTTTGAGAGACATATATATACATCTGCATTTGCCGCCATGAATCCGTACTAGCAATATTTTTTTGATCTAGAAAAAGCATATGATACGACATGGCGGTACCATATCTCCAACAATTTCCCTTCTCTAGGCATACGTGGAAACAATGGGTGTCTTCATAAAAGTCCCTTTCCTCTCCCAACGCCCTTTATCAGGTCAAAATTGCCTTCTGCCACATCCATCTTCTTTCCGCCAATGAACGTGTGCCCACAAGCAGTGTGGGTGCTCGTACCACTTATTCCTTCTAGCTTGTTAATGATATTTCTCAGTATTACCACCTAGGAGCCCCCGGTCATCACTATATGTAGATGATTTAACCATCTAGGCATCTGGCACATCCATACCAAATCACTACGCAATTTCTTCAATCTGCAATCTCATCAGTAATCTTCCTGGGCCACAAACCCATGCTTCTCCGCTTTTCAATCTCTAAATCTTTCACCATCATTTTCTCTCGCTCACGTGAAAAATCTCTCCCCCACTTCTTCCTATATGGCACTCCACTCCAATACCGTTTCCTCTGGCTGGCAAATTCCTAGGCGTCATTTTGACTCCAAACTGACCTGGGCAACCATATTCTACACATTAAAGAACGCTCTCCGCCGCCTTCGAATTTTAAAACTCTAGTCCTATATATCATGGGCCTCAGATCGCAAAAACTCTCCTTCATCTTCATGTTACTTGATTCCTCTCCACTCTGATATGGATGCCATACTACTCCTCTGCCTCAACTTCTCCTCCTTGCCCATCTTGACACAATCCATCATCTGAGGTCTTCGCTTAGTACTAGGCGCCTTCCATCCGCTCCACTCCAGTTGAGAGCCTGTATACACTGAATCAGCATACCATCTCTAGCTAGACTCGAGCCCTGCTCTCACTCCACCTCCGCTGTCTGTACGTTTTTCCACCTACTTCCCTCACTAAACTAACTATCCACAAACCCACTTCCTAACCCTAGCATTCATCTCCACGCTTACCTACTCCATTCTCTCACTCGCATGGTATACCCTCCTCTCACTTCCCCTTTTCCCCATCTCACAACCTCTCCCGTTTCTCTGTCCATGTCCGTCCCTCCATGGCTTATACCTCACCCCCTAATTTGCTCTCTGTTTTCCCCGAACCCCACCAAAATCAAATATTCCTCCCCTACTGTCCTATCTCATCCATTTCCTTGACCATGTCTCCCCCATTCCTCTGTATACACGTATATACTGATGGCTCCCAAATCCACCTCTGGTGCTGTTTTGCAGTAAAATTCCCAACTCGTACTTTCAAATACTCCCATCTCTCCTGAATCCAGTGTCCTTACGACTGAACTGTATCACTCTCTCCTTTTTGCCCTAAAACACATATACACACTCTTCTCTTCCCTTTTACAATTTTTACTGACTCCGTACTCTAACTCTCATAAATCAATACACACCACCAACCCCCATGTTTGTAAGATCCAGAACTGGTTTTCTACCTTACACTCGCACACAAAACAATCAATTTTGCTGTGCACAGCCATGTTGAATCCCGCAATGAACAGGAGATACACTAGCACTCACGCTGCTATTTCCACAATCATACCAACCACGCTTCTCACGGTATCCCAGCCACGGATTATTACCCACACTTTAAGACCTTCTTGTATAAACGATGGCAATCTTTCTGGTCAAGCCTCCACACTAATAAATTCCATTCTGTAAAACTAGCCAATCACCTCCTGTCACTCCATTTTCATCGGAACAGAACTTTGGAGACTGCTCCTCCGCCCGCTTACGCATTGGCCACACCCGTCTAACACACTCCTATCTGATGTCACATCTGATCCACCCCTATGTTCCTTATGTAATTTTCCCCTTTCAATCTACACATCCTATTGTCGGTGCAGACTTTTTGAAGCAGCCCGTACCTGCGCTGCTTACCCCCACTATCCTCCTTCACCGACCTCCAACCCAATCAACCTCCTTACATATCCCACACTTTTCCTGCCTCAATCAACCTGTTCACTTTCCTTCAAACTCATACAAATCCTTTATCTAATCTAACGCCCGACCTTAACCCTTTAAAACTCACCAATTCCTTTGCCAGCTTAGACAACTAACCACTAACTCAAACACCTTATCACTAACAATAACTATATGTCTACATGAACCTTAGATGTCTAGCACATTTATCTTGCTTTTAACCATTAACCATTAACCATCTTCCTATGCTCTTGAATAATGACCCCTGCACTTTCCCCCAGGAGATCCAGACAGTATTTCAAAGCATCAACAAGAGGTAGTGGAAGGAATCCAATAGGGAACCTGTGAGTTTTATCAGAATTTTCCTTTAAAATAGGAGAACTGATTGAGGTGAGTTTAAAATATTGAAGTGTTTTTTATGTTATTATTATTGTTATTTGTTTTCCCAAATATTCTTGAAGCTGCAGTGCTGATATATATTAATCAATATGAGGTTTATAATAATTTTTACAGACTTTCTTCTTCTTCTTCTTTTCCTGGTTTTTTGTTTTTTTTTCTTTTCTGTTTTTTTACTCTTGAGTATCCACTCTTGTTTACTGGTGCCTAATCATGCGATAGCCCCTTTTTCTAAAATATCCAATGCGTTTAATCTTCCCCAAAATCTGGTGTATTCATGGCAAGTCCATTCCTGTCACCTTCAACTGTAGATAAATTTATCATGAGGACACATTCCTGTCACCCTGGCCCTCAGGCAAATTTTTCACGAGTGTTCCTTCCCATCAACTGGCCTTTTAGCCTTTTTTTTTTTCTTCTCTCTTCTTCTGGTCTTCTTCTTCTTCTTCTCTTGTCTTCTTCGTCTTCTTCTTCACTACACAGATACAGTGAATTAAGGTTTCTTTGTGATTTTGGGAAGCCAATTTGCATGTAACAAATCAGTAAAAATCTAACCACAGTGATAGTGCTTCTTATACTTGCACTTCAGCATCAGCATTTTTATTTTTATTTTTATGGTAGTCCTTGTAGAGTACAATTGGAATAAAGTTTTTTTCAGTCATTGAATGAAAGAAAGGAAGTGTAAACTGAGATTCATGTTAAGTTTGCAGCCAAAAAAAAATTTGTTTTTTATGTTTTTCAATTTTCAGTTGTGGAGAAAAAGGAAAAATGAAATCAAAGAACTGGTCGATCTTAAAGCTGTGCAGATTGGTAATGGTGACCATGTGGTAACCCACACTGTGACGAGCAGTATATGGTAGTGGAAAGGTAGTTTTCAATAATAATTTTGAAAGCAGAAAGAGGCAATAGTAGTAGCAATGAGAATTGTGACATGCTTAAATAAGTGTTCTCAGTGTGAAAATCTTTTGAAAGTGAAGATCTTTTGATTATCACAAGATTAGACAATAGAAGACAAAT